TTCTTCCTGAATTAAGAGCATATAAAGCAAAAGAAAGTACATATCCAGAACTTATCAAGGAAAAATTATGTTATGTTCCTTCTGGACATGTGATTAGGAGATTATGTTTGTGGAATTGGGCTGTGATATCTGGACTCAGAAATATCAAATCAATTTAAAGTTGGTCTATTTCAGAATTGCAACTTGCACCATTTTGTTACATTTTGTAAAAATTCTATTTTTTTAAGAACAGGATGAATGTAACATCTTTTAAGACAGACCATTAGAAAAGCCCACCTTTTATATACAACTTGCATTTTTTTTTGTTTCAATTTGGCCAAATATACCCATTAACTTTTCAAAATATTTATCTGCTCATTTTTGTCAAAAAAATAAAATAATAGTAGACTTGCTGCATTTTTCTTCTTGCATCACATAATGTCATCCATTTTGCCAGATGAGGCCACTTAGTCGCACCAAACCATAATATGGCATGTTTGGCTATAGTTTTGCATGTTGTGTGAACCACTGTTTATAAACTATGATTTATGGAACCATGGTTCATGGTTTATGGCATAATTGTTTATTCACATCACTGCAACATATGGTGAATTAGGACCCTGTTTCTCATTGCATTTAAGTAAATTTAGGTAGTCCTCAACAACAGTTCATGTAGTTACGACAGCACTGAAAAAAGGGAGTTATGACCATTTTTCACACTTACGACCGTTGCAGCATGCCCATGGTCATGTGATCAAAATTCAGATGCTTGGCAACTGACTCATACTTATGACCCTTGTAGTGTCCCAGTCATTTGATCATCTTTTACAACCTTTCAACAAGCAAAATCAGTGGAGAAGCCAGATTCACTTAACAACCCTGTTACTAACTTATCAGCTGCAGTGATTCACTTAACAACTGTGGAAAGAAAGGTCATAAAATGAGATAAAACTCACTTAACAACAGAAATTTTGGGCTCAATTGTAGTCGTAAGTTGAGGACTATCTGTATATTCAGTGTTAGTCTTTAATGGATTTAATGGATTAATTCCTATGATGGGAAGATCACCCTGTTGACAACCCTGGTTGACAATGTGTTCAGCAATTTCACATATCTTTAATATTCAGGAATGAGATAGATGTCTGCCAAAATACATAGAAGTTTGGCAAGATAATACCAAACATGCTTTTGTATCAGTAAGGTATAGCTAGATATTGTTAGTGGAAAAATTCCTTGGAGCATGTCATAATAATGGCTAGCTTATCATGGTTTCCTCATTACCATACCTTGTTTCACTAAATATACAGCAAGCAAGTGTATCTGTTTCCCTCTGTCAGAGATTGAAGAAAGTGTAAAAATATATTTTTGATGTTATTTAGTACCTAGTATATTTCCTGTATGATATAAATGAATAAATAATTGTCATTTTTAGTCCCAGAATCTCTTATTGGTTGACAGTGAATTAATTAGAACACTGGATAGAATGGGGGGTGGGTGGGACTAATACATATCATCCACTGGCTGGTGTGTAGCAAATATCTTTGTAACTTTGGCAAAAATAATGATGATGATGATGATGATGACGACAACAAAAACAACAATACCTGGCTATGGCTAAGAGCAGGAAAATTGAAGAAAGAGACTGATGGACTAATTTTGGCTGCACAAGACCAAGCTTTAAGGACAAATGCATACAAAGTCAAAATTGAGAAGACAGCAACAGACAGTAAGTGCCGCCTATGCAAAAAAGCTGAAGAAACAGTGGACCACCTGGTAAGCTGCTGCAAGAAGATTGCACAGACTGACTACAAGCAGCAGCATGACAAAGTAGCAACAATGGTGCATTGGAAGATTTGCAAGAAATATCATTTGCCTGCAAGCAAGAACTGGTGGGATCATAAAATAGAGAAAGTCATAGAAAATGATAAAGTTACATTGCTCTGGGACTTTAGAATTTAAACAGACAAAAACATGCCACATAACATCGTGGACTTAACAATTGTTGATAAGAAAGACAAAAAAAGTCTGGATAGTGGACGTGGCAGTACCTGGAGACAGCAAAATAGAAGAGAAAGAACTGGAGAAGATAACAAACAAAGATAATGACTGGCAAAGGCAAGCAAGGGTAGTACCAATAGTAATAGGTGCCTTAGGTGCAATCCCAAAACAACTGGAGTACCACTTGAACACCATTGGCATTGACAAATTCGCCATTAGTCAATTGCAAAAGGCGGCCTTACTAGGAACTGCTTCCATCCTGAAACGATATTTATAATACCATCAAACATCTATCCTAGCCTATCCCAGGTCTTTGGTAAGGACTCGATAGATAGACAAAAATGTCAAATCCAGTCTGAACATCTGGCTGACTGTGCGATGATGATGATGATGAATAATAATAATGATGATGATGATGATGATGATGATGATGATGATGATGATGATGGAAGAGATCTTCTAGTCCAACCCCCTGCTCAGGCAGGAAACCCTATACTATTTCAGACAAATGCCAGACAAATTTGTTCCAGATGTTGCCAAATATTACTGTTCACTGATAGATTTGAAACAAAAACTGAGTTATTCATAATCCATTGCTTTGTGGTTTATGGAAAAGTGACATTTCTGTCGTTGTCAACTGGAAGACCAAAAGAAAGAAGGATCGTAAACAGAGGCTAATCTCACATTCTATGCTATGCCATAATATGATTTATAAACCATGGTTTATATCTAACATTATGAATGAATTGACACTATTTGTCTGTACATCATGTTTAAGACAAGTTACAGTATGTGTAAAATCATATGTGTCCCTAGCTTCAGTAAAATAAGAAAATTATAGCTATTGAGTTTGCTTTTTTAGGATACTAACATTGACTTATATTTCCTGTCATCAGGATACATATTTAGCTAGGATCCACTAAATTATTTCTTAAAGTTCAAAAGTACTACTTCTGTAATATAAAAACTTCTTGAAATCCCGTTGATGGGGATTTGCAAGCACTACAACCTGCCTTATTCAACACTTATTTATCTGATTACGCAAAATCCCATATTTCATCTTCCAACTATGTTTTAATTTGGATTAATATCTGACCAGTAGCAGTAGTCAAAGCACATCTGGTGCAGCTGTACAATGTTGAATGTTGCCTACAGTTGATCCAACTTTGCAGAGCTTGGGGAGTGAAATGATGATGATGATAAAAAAGGAGGAGGAGTTGGAGTTCACTGCTGGATTGATTATTGATTAAATAATTATCAATTATTAACTGATGATTGATTAACTCCTCAAATTTGCATCTAAGAGACAGGATCAGAAAAAGGAAAGGGGGCGAGGTGGTCCTGCAGGAATACAAGCTAATTTGAGGGCTAATCCACATGGAGCTCCGTTTCCATCTGTCCTGTTTGTCATCTTTTGCTCCCTAGAGACTAAAATGGACATTCTGAAACTTGAGCTGGCCACGGAGTGTATATTGGAGGTGGTGATCCTTTGAGAGCTGTATGCAATGAAATTTCATTTTGATGTATGCTGATTGGTGACAATAAAGTTGTTGTTGTTGTTGTTGTTGTTATTATTATTATTATTATTATTATTATTATTATTATTATTATTATTATTTAAATTTATATCCCGCCCTTCTCCTTGCGGACTCAGGGTTGTTGTTGTTGTTGTTGTTGTATTTAAGAACATTCCTTTTCTGTCACATTAAAAATGGCAATTTCTTGCTGACCTCCAGAGGGTAGCTATAGTACCATACTCAAAGCTTGTAGGGCTACCAGCAGCTTTGAAGCCTTGGCTGGCCTATTCTTTCTTATACCTGTTTAATATTTTCTGATAATGTGAGCTAACAGAAAGTGTTGTAGAGCAATAACTCTCTTCTATGAGAAAACTATTAGAAGAATGGTGGGAAAACAATGATGGGGAAACCATGTTCATCTGCTTGGAGTACCAGCCAGCACTTGTTTCTGATTCCTAACAAAATTGAAGAAAAATAATCTTGTGAAAGTATTTATAGGAACCGGCAATCCATTTTTGTCCTTCACTGTTGTAATCAAGAACACCCAGACATTTTGCCTTTGACAAAAAGAAGGGTGTTTTTTCTTCAGAGTGGAGGGCAGAGAAAACCCAAATATTAAAAGATATGCAGGCTATCTTTTAGACCTAGCTATCTCTTCCCACAAAAAAGCCTACCCTTCATAAAAAAAAAATAACCATAAGGAACCATCCCTTGAAATCCCATTTTCACTGTAAATCACCTCTTTGCTCACTGTGGCTTTTTTTGTTGTATCCTGTCACAGAATAGCTCATGTTCTCCCACCAGATTGCCTGTCTCTGCTTTAATGGTACCAGGAAAAATGTTATAATATATAAAGCAGAATTTCCTATTATACCATGAAGGAAAAAGAGTAGTGAATTTTTTCCATTACTGTCTCCTGAGGTCTCTTTGCTAGCAATAGATAGAAATTTTGGAAAGCAAGAAAGCAATTCCATAAATAAACATTAGATCTTGTTGAGTTGTATTGAAGGCATCTAAAATGACTTTCTCTGTGTGGGATTCTCCAGCTGTGTTAGATGATAATTTCCATAAATCTACCACTTGCATCGCCCATGAAGGCCATAATCAGAATTATTCAGTGGATACCAGATGGGTGATGGCTGGTCTAGTAAGATCAATAGGGTTGGATTTCACAATGCTGTATGAGAGAAAGTATCAACCAGGGCCAATTATTAGTATTATTAGTATTGGGGCGATCTAAGATTACTGAAGTCTGAGAATCTGATTTTATTTCATATATCTAGAGTTTGAATCAACAGCCTTTTCTGAAGTAAAGTGATAACAAATTTGGGAATAAAAATGGAATGAAAGGTTCCTATCCCATCTTGCACTGCAAGTGGTTGTGGGAATTTCCCACGATTGTTCTGCCAGTTGAGCTTCATGGCTATCCTCTCACCTGAGTTCTGAGCCTTATTCTTCCAAATCTGAAAACCTGTGAAAACTTTTTCACTTTTTTTTTTAATTCAGGCACACCACCTCTTCATTCTCCAGGCTTGATAAAGTGGGAGTCCGTCATCCTCCATCTTTGCCTTTCATTGGAAATCTGCTATATTTTCGTGAGGTAAGAAATTTTTTGAATGATGGCAATTTGGAGGTCTTTGTCCCATCAGTCCATTCCATCCACTCAGGCAGGAAAGGTATGTTGCAGACCTTGTGAGTTAAGGAATTCCAACTGGTGGGATCTAGGAAGAGATCCTTCTCTGCCGTCACCCCCACCCTATGGAATAGTCTTCCCTTGGAGGTGAGACAGGCCCACTCTTTTGGACTTCTGAAAAGGAGTTAAGGCATGGCTCTGTGGCCTCACGTGAGGAGCCCAAGGAAACATGCAGCCCTGGGGCTGGTTAGTCCCTTGAAACCCCTCCCTTCGCCTTTTAAGTAATTTTAATCTCTTGTCTCATCTTAAAATTTTAAAAATATTTTTAGGATACACACAAACACAGATAGACAGTACAGAAATGTGATAATAAATGATTGACTGAATGAATTAATTTAGACATTACTAAAGAAACCCTATTTATCCTGCCTTTTGACCACCTTATAGTTTACATTGATTATATCACAATAATCCAGATTGAAAAACCTGCTGGAACTTTAATGAGGTTATTCTAATTTCTGAAATGTAGAGGTCTGTATCTATAATCCGTTATTCCAATGACTTTTACAGAAAGAGATAATTCAGCAAGATATCTACTTCCCTGTCTTCCCTTTTATTTCTCCTAGCATCAGTGCTCCTGTGCTTATTTGGTGATGGTGCTTTATATCCATTTTTATTTATGGTTCATTAATCCACACCAAGACACTAATTCTGTGTGCCAAACATACAGCTAAAATAAATATATCTTGTTCAGGCTAATGTATTACATTTGTTGTAGTTGTGCAGAACGGCTCAACCTGTGTGAAGATAGATGTACATAGGTTCTATTTAAACTTTAAAGTGAATACACCTAGAGGTAAGGAATGGGAATATGAACAACATTTCTCCTCAACCCTGCAACCAGCATTAACATTTAAGTAGTATTGCTTAAAACTTCCTCAGCAGTTAATATTACACAAGTGCTAATCAAAACTGCGCAAAACAGATGAAGTGGTTTGTTTACATTTAGAATGTCAGCATTTGGAGAAGAAGCTTGCAAATGAGGTAAGCAATACCCTTCTGTGCCAAAAGGCTATCCAGTGTTGTCAGTAGGATGGCGTCTCAGCGCTGCAATTCTGAGGAGCCCCAAATTCAACACCACCCCTTAAATCAGACACACTATCATCTCCTAGTTATTTATTTTAATTATCTTTACAAACAATGGATTATCTCATACAGCCTCAGATACCATAGGTAAACCACTGAGCCCCAGAAATGATCTTGGGAATGCTACCAATGGATGTTCTTGAAAGGTGAATGGGAGTTGGGGTACCTTGTGCTGGTGATGGGGGAACATGGTTTGAATTTGTGCTCTGCTTGGTTGCAATGGATGAGTAAAATTATAATATTGTAAAATATTGGCTGTAATAATTCTGACTTGTCAGCATGTCTTCATAAGCTTTTTTTCTCCCTCTATAAGCCTTTCCTCCCTCCCTCCCCTTTTATTTTATTAGCCAAGCTGTTGACAGGGTGCGTGCAGCTTCCCTGCCTTGAATTTTAATGGAGACATCACTTTCTTGAGCTTTTCTCAGAGTGGACAGGATATTCTTTGTTTGCTCTGTTTATTCCTGTCTGGCCTATTTGTAACTCCTGGATGCTCTGCCTGAGTGGCCCATTTTGGTTGAATGGAAGATGGGAGCTGATGGGGGCAGGGATGTGGGAGCTTTGTTGAGCTTTTGGTTCTGGCTGGGCTGAGCTATTTTATAGCTGCTGGGAGGATGAGGGGGTAGGGAAAAGAGAGAGAAGACATTACACATTCTTCATTCCACATTAAACTCCCTTTGATAAGCAAGACAAACAAAACACAGACTAGGACCGCTGTTGTTGAAATCAAATGCTGGCCTACTTTAAAAACTATATTGTCAGTGCTTATATCTTGGAGACCAGAAGCTTGTACCAACAGTGTTGGACATTGAAGAAATAAGTAGTAAAATGAAGTGGAAGACTTAGTGTACAACGTTTGCAGTCCCACTTTTAATTTTCATTTACAGAGAGAGTAAAATGCTTGCATATAGTTAAGATTGCTCTTACAAAGACAAACAGAATGGAACTGACTGGAGTATTTTTTAGCCATTTGCCTGATATTTACATTGAAGTTTAAAAAAACAAAACCTAATGTTTTCTTTTCTTCCCCTCCCAAATTTGGATACGGCTAAGCTCTAAAGTAGCTTTCTCTGCTGTGACCTCTAAATAGATTCCAGAGCAGAGAATTCTAGAAGCTGCAGTCACACCATGCCCTCTTGGACAGTACTATATTAAAGATTTATTTTGCAAATTTTTCTACTACCATAGAAATTGTATTCATTTCTGATTGCCACATTTTGTTCGTACTGTATTCAAATAATTGTTTAAAATGTATATATAGGAAAATAAGAATATGTCTCCATTCCGCTTATCTTCTCAGTCAGATTGGTTTGAAGATGAGTGCTAGTCTACCAGTAGTAATGTAAAATAAATCTTAATTCTTCAGCATTTCTATGTCTTTTAGCAAGGCTCTATTTCTTAAGGCAAATTCAACTGGTAGTCTGCAAAATAATTTTAATTGGCTAAAAATAATATGAGTTCTGTGAAGTTAAAAATCCCAAATTCCTGGATGAAAGATAATCTTCAGATTAAGGAGAAATCAGGTAATCCTAAAAGTTGAACTCTGAACATTTTCTCTAAATCATTTATTTCCCGTGAGGTAAAATGCATTTAATTGCCCAGTTAGATTTATTGTAAGTCTGATTCCATCAAACATTCCACCAGATTTCCTTTGTTTCTGGTCACATGGATTTTACAAGCTGTTGATCACAGTTCTGCACCCACATCCAAAGATTCTGAAAGAGCGTCGTGTGTTCTCTTTGCCTCCTACAGTACTAGTGGCCTCTTGCTGCCAGTACTGTCAGATTTAATTGAAAAACAATTCAACTTCCCCTCTGATTTTTGTCATGGTCAAACTTCACAGAGCCCTGTTACCCATCAGGAAGTTAATGAAGTATGTAACAGAAATATCCTTCCAAGGAAGCACCATGTTGCTCTTTGGAAATGGGAAGCAGGATGACAAATGTATGCTAATAACACCCAGTGTGGTAATAGCAATGATTTAATTTAGTCATCATTAGGAGGACAATTTACTCTTGCAAAATGGTTTATTAGAACATTTACCACATTGACTCTCATCCATCCTGTGGCCAGAGTATTCCTCAGATGAGCTTTCTGAGTTTTGAAAGCAAATTCTAACTCTCACCTGGACTTTTCTCTCTTGTATCTTTAAATGTCTGATGACAACTATAATTAACAAATGCATTCAGATTACAACCCATCCTGTCCCTCCCCCCCCAAAATTTGAGCTGCAGATTTCATTGGCATAATATTTGGTCTGAGATTTGGACTTCAGTTTTTCCATCTTCTGTCTTTGACATCTACTTTGATTACTAGATAAGGTAATCTGAATACCTATATAATCTTTGGTATTATTTTGATTAACCCTAATTCATCTCTCTAACTAACCAAGGGTGCATTTTTCCCCCACTGATGGACCAAAACTATAAAATCTTACTTGGCTCATGATAGTCTAAGGGAGACATGGCCCATAGTAAATGGGATCAGAGCTATCTGCAGATTTTGGTGGTTCCCGGAGCAATATTGACTTATTGATCCAATTTCCTCTTTGCCTCCAGTTACCAGTAAATCCATTTGTTTGATCTTCGCCTTTAGATCCAATTTGCACACTCTCTAAGGAAGGTAAGCAGAGATTACTGTTCCTCTTTGCTCTTATTGATGCCAGTTCCCATGACTTAACAGGTAGCAAATCTCATTGATTTTTTCTTTGGATTATGCTGCATCCCCAAGTGTCTTATTTCTGACCTCACTCCACAACAGGGTAGACAGGGCACCCTCTATGTGTATGTTTTGGGTTACAGTTCCTATAATTCTTACTTTTTTCAAAATCAGCCAAAGTTAGCTGGGCATTGCCACCTGTTGTGATTATCAGTCTGATCTCTTGCTCAGTAAGGTATAAAAGTACCTTACTGTTGATGTCACCTAACATGTGAATTTACCAGTGATGATTTTCCACAGCAGCATGATGGGGTATGTTTCTGTGATCTGATCAGTCTGGATTGTCACTATTAAATTCTTAGCCCAGGTGGTAATATTGTAGGAAGAAAAGGTTGGTTCAAGAAAGACAGAGTAGACATGCCATTAGCTATCCATCAACAGTTCAGCCTGAATATGTTGTCTGCCAGCCGGATTTCTACTAGCTGCAAAACACATTGAATAGCTGTGGGACTCAATCCAACATATTGTTATGTCAACAGGGTTTTATATCACTTCATCAATAACTCCTGTGGCTTTCTACTGCAGAAGGGCTCAGTGGCACAGACTGAGGACTGACTGTTGAAGAGATTTGGAAATGATAGGGATGAGAAATGGAATGGAATCTCTTTGAAAAATGCATGATTAACTGGAATCCTAAATAGCATTTGACTGTTTAACCTTTTATTAAGAAGGTCACTGATTAATCCTTTATATATCTTTTGTGTCTACTCATTTAAAGTGAGCATTGCCTTAAAAAAAAAGGCTAGGGTTATTTAAATCAGTTAACTGGAAAAGGATTGTAAGCAAGTGTGATAAAAGAAGAAGTATTGCTAATGTCTCTGGAGATCAGAAAGTGTAGTTATGTGAAGTTGCCCCAAAATAAGAAAGAATGTTGGGCGAGGAAATACATGAACAGAAAATGGTCTAATATCAAAAGTTAATTAATGGTCCTCCAGTGACAAGCTGATCTAATTGAAGCAGTTCAGCCTATCAAGACAACCTGGCATTAGACAATCTAGTGAAATAGAATGATTGTCACATGATTCCTCAAGAGGTAGAATTATCAGAAGTTAAATCTTACCTTGAACAGTTTCTATTCCCTTCTTTGTTGTAGAGCTTAGAAAACT